TTTTTTTATACATTTTATGCAATTCATACTTATATGTTCACAAGTTGATATTCATTATAAACTGTAATTCAATGTTTTAATAAAAATATTTATGAAACTGTTATTTTATAAAAATTATTTTATTCTCTATAAATGAATATTAATTCAAAATCAAATACTTTTATTGAAAATAATGAATTACAGTTTGTAATAAATCTCAACTTGTGAACATATAAGTATGAATTGCACAAAATGTATAAAAAAATTTGCATGTTTAAAATTATACCCCTTGTATAAAATTTTGGTAGATACCGACCTGGACATATCATATACTAAACAAAACCCTAACTATCCAGCTACAATTTAGTGAATAAATGAATAAAGTAAACAAAACGGTATTTAAATAAATTGAAATCAAAGTGGTATAGCCATATTCTGGCCGCCCTGTATTACTAATACTGTATAACTCATTAAAGGCACAGAGCTCACTTCAACTTTCCCTGGCACATATCTCATCTGAGTCAAAAGTAAAATGTCACAAAAAATATGTTCACACTACAATCATTAACTAAATATTGCTAATTATATTGTTTTTAAACATAATGTATCATTATCATTTTTAAACATGATGTATCATTTTCATTTTGAAACATAATTGAGTAGATTTGAACACTAATAGACATCAATCTGTTATTGTGTGCAACAATTAGTCCTGACTTTGTTATAAGTTTAAAATTCACAAACTAATGGACTATTAATTTAATTATAAATAAAAATTTATATTAATTTTGCAGTAATTATAATTACAGCAATTTTTCAGTTTAGTATTGTAGTATCACTATGATATAAGTAATAATTGTCTATTTATAATAATTTGACTAATATTGACTTCACTTAATTTATTTATTCTTAAAATATTACAGAGTAACTATGTCGATTAAATAATTAAATAGTATATCGGTGATTTTATTTAAACAAATTTCTGCAACGAAAATAATTACGCAAAATATCAAGCAATATAATATAAATATGAATAGTGACTGCAATTTATATATTAATAACATCTCGAAATAAGTGATGTATGTATTTGTATGGGCAAAATAATCAGGTATATGGTTATCATTCAAAAGCCCACTATTTTCTAATATATTAATATTAATTACAATAAAATATTTGCCAATCATTTGATTCCAGTGTTGGATAAGCGATGACTCGAATAGGCGTTCAGATCTATGGGTTAAAAGTAATTAATTTAAAATTTATTATATAATTGTTTAATATCTCACATAATTTCAGTTATATTTGTAAAGGGGAACTCTGGTCCATAACAAAGGGGTGTCGTAAGGACTGGTAGATAGGGTTGGCCCACGTGTACGGGCATAAACCGTAACATAAATGTGGTCATTATATATGTGGCTAACTCGTCAAATACTAGCACTTTATTATCAAAGTATCTAGTTAGTTTTTGGGGGCTGTCTATCAATGTATAAATATGATTGACCATGATGTTTAATAGTTTTGTTTTTTCAATAAAGTTGGTAAATTTGTGTTTGAAATCCAGGTCAAAGTCTTTGTAAAATTCCGGTGATTTCCATTTGTCGTAATAGTATGGATCCGTATAGACGTCCAGTCTATTGTCTAGTATATCGTCTATGGTGTCGGCGTTCATCACATCCCTGTCCATCATATTTGCGAACAAATCGTTACGAATAATGGCCACTAATGGGGAGATACAGGCGATCCATAAAATGTATAACCAATTATGAAATCTGAAATCTTCTGATATTCCCAGAAATGGTTTCAAAAATATAGAGATTTGTCGCATAAATGACTTGTTTTTAGAAACTCTTTTGTTAACCAATTTGTCGGTAATTATCATAAATACTGTTGAAATTAATATTAGTTTCCATACATTACTGTCCAATGCTTTCCAAATGTCCAAAATCGGTGGCAAAGGCTTATTGATGTTAACACTGATGTAATTCATGAGGTATGACATGTATAGAGGTTTCGTACAATTAAAGTGTTTGACATCCCTTTCCCAAACATAATTCATTGGTGTGTTATCTAAAGCCGTCACCAATCCCTGTCTAACCAATTGGTT